GTTATTAGGCCAATTTTTAATTTATTAGCACTTGGAAACTAATTAACCGATTTTCTTGAAACTACTCAGAAAATTCAAGTTTTACTCAGATTATATGCTGAAAGTTTACGGCAGATACACTTTTTCATATGAAACAAAGAGCTTGAACTCCCATTTTCAGAGCAAAACTGAATACAAACTTAATTAGGGCATGCAATGGCACTACCATAATATATACATTCTAGGTGTTTAGGGCTCAGTCTTTCAAGGTGCTGAGTATCCTTAACTCACACTGAAGTCAGGGGCAGTTGAGGGCACATGGCACCTTGCAGAAGTTTTCAGCACATTGCAAATCCAAGTCCTTGAAGCTAGATTAATTTTCTTGCATTTTTCCTTTTACATTTGGTAGTGTATAGAAAACTGAGGCACAGATGGTTAAGCAATTTGAAAAGGCCACACTGGAAGACTGTGCTTAAGGTAGGAGTGGAACGCAGGTCTCCCTGTTATGGGATTTACCCCAGAATGATTCAGCTGGCCAGGCTGCACTGTATAATGGTTTTGTGAAACTAAAAGGATTTCAAGCAATATAAAAGGCTCATTATCCTGTATGATGCTGTAGGATGAAGCAAAGCAGATGGCCAACTGTAAAACATGGAAATTTGTCTCTCAGGGAACCCACAACAAGACCACAAATACAGTAAGTGGTACATTACCCGTTCTTGGCATTTAAATGTTACCAATGAAGCACCCACCCAGATGTGTTGTGTCTTCCTTGCACCATCTGGTGAGTTTTAGCTGCAACTGCAACCACAAAATTGCGACACAGGTACACACACACAAATGCTCCAGTGTGATTTTTTTCATCCCATACCAAGAGATCTCAAAACCACATAGGTCATCTCTTGAGAAAACACTAATGCTGCTCCAAGGTAATTTTAAACATGACCACTCATGCAGAAGTTGTCATCTCTAACATCTGAAATCTCTGTTCATCATATTCTTGAAAATGTGAACCAATCATATCACTGGTCTAGTCACTAAGCTCACGTAGGCTACCGAATGACAGTGATACTACCGTGGTGTTCACTTCTTTAATTAATGCTCATCAGGAGTCCTCAACTCCTTGAATCTTATAATCAAGGAGACAATGATGACCACATAAGTGTCAAAGTGTTTGGTAAAAGAAACGGTGCAGGCCACTGCAGCGTTCTACAGCGGACGTTCCCTATGTACAACAATGATCCCAGCAAGCAACAAGCTAACATGAATCAGTAAGGGAGAAAATAAAGGACAGGAAGAGTTAAGACTATAGTCTTAATCTGTGAGGGAACAGTTCACATGTTCAAAATGTTTGGGCACCTGTAAATCACTGAGGTTAGTATCTTTTGTGTACTTGAGATCTGTGAAATTTACCAATATGCCTCCTTTTAGGCTAGGTTCTGAATTTCATCATTCAGCAGGGAGATATTCTTTAAGCGAACTTTAGTGCTTGAATTCAGCTTCTTTACCTGGCTGAGCAGCACTATCGTCCTTTGCTGCAGAATAGAAAATGTAATCCACAGTGACAGCACTTCTGGAGTGACAAGTTGTTACTTCTGGAACTCCACTTTCAGGTAAGTAATGAGAATAGACCGAAGATAATCTAAAGTGGTGTTGTAATTTCGAAGGAAACCTAAACAGAATTACACAGGTATTTTACTTCATTATCGCTACTAAGTGAAAGACTTTGTCATTAATAAAACACATGTATTTCGTTATGTATTCCTGTAGTGTAGATGGAAGGGGTTATTCCATTACTATAGTAATCCATCTCTGCAAGACTCAGTAGCTAATTGATGAAAGAATTCCTCCATCAACCATGACTGAGGATGGCTTAATTACATTGCACAGGGAGTGAAATTTTTCACAGCCCTGAATGATGTAGTTAAGTCAACTTAAATTTGTAATGTAGGCCAGACCTTCGGTTAAATGCTTCATCTTGATTAGCTCTTCCACCCATGTAATTACTGTATTCTTCCTTCCTCCTGACACCAACCACATGTCCTTCCCTGCCAGTCTAAACTGGAAGCCACCTCTCGATTTTTAAGTAAGCTTTTGGTCTAACTAGGAGTTTTCACATTAAATCTTTTAAAGCTTTTAGGCTTTTTATTTTTTAAAAACTTAGTTATGAGTCTAAAACGAGAAAGGAAGTACCTGTCTCCACGCCTGTCCAATATGGAACTCTTGGGGAGGAGGGTTTTTTAAATAATTAAACTTTTTCCTGTTCTATCCAGTTTGATCCATCTCCTCTTCCTTACCACAGTTCTTTGTTTCCCAATAAGGATACTTATTAACATTTATAAACCAGCATCTCCAAAATGGGAGGAAATATGAGAATTTAAGCAGCTGGATAGAGCTGCCACTTATAAACAGATCTCTGCAGCTGGCCCCAAATTCTATGGCTTTGCTACATCACTATAAAACCAAGAGTGCTGGTTATATCCAAAAGTAAACAGATGTCAAAAGTATTGTTTAATGAGGAGAGATGGAACTTGCCCTGTAGCCTGTCTTGATATTTCCTTAACCTCAGCTCCTTAGTTTGGAATAAAATGCATCAGTTGCCGTATACAGAAATGGTCCTTTACAATACATAATTCTAATCCTTTCCCATCTGTGGTTATCTTTTCTTTTACTTTTAAATGAAAGATGATTTTTTGCCCTTTGCATAGTTATCCTAATCCAAATTTTTCTGGATTCTGTTCTCCAATTACTACTTTTGAAAACAATAGGCAGCCATGCTTTTGAACTAGTGTAGTTGCTGAAAGTAAGACCACCAGTATAAGAATGATGAAATATACAATTTAATTTTAGTTTATTTTTATTCACATCTTCTAGCTGCTCTGACAATTAAAGGGTGCAGGAACTAACTCACCAGAACACAGTTGTGAAATGTCAGAGGAAATATTACAATAGCCCTGAAAACTGCACTGACTCCATTTTCGAGACTTTTACTTGAGAAGATGAGTGGTTTAGGTGTGGTGATGTCTATTTTAGAAAATGTCTTTTTCGGTTGGGGTGTGTGTGTGTTTTATTAGATAATGTGCATGTAAATAAAGACATGTAAATATGTATATTTTAACAACCTACATGGGCAGATACAAAACCCAATTAGAAGACCAAGTACAGTTTTATCAGTTATCTAATTTGAAATCATACCATATATGCTCAAGGGTTTTTTTTATTTATTTAAAATAGGAGCCACCAAGCATCCTTCTCAGATTTTCCAAGACTTACTTTTCAGCTGCTATTATGATCTCTTCTGTGTGCTCCAGTTTCGCTTCTTTTTTCTCTTCACCTATAAAAATAAAGAGAATTTCTAATCTAGGTTTTAAATGAGATCATTAAGACCACTGGAGAAAAACTATAGGAAAAGTAGCCTAGGACAACATCTTCAAATGCTATTTATTTTTCTTTTGATGGGAAAGATCAAATTAATAAAAACTGGATTGAATTGCCCAGTTTCATTAGAGCCCCTTCAAACAAATCTGTACTTTTCCAGAAAACTTTACCTAGAAACATACCATTTCAAATTACAGAGCAATTCAGATGAGCTGAATGTATGTTTAACCTTGAATATAAAGACAAAAAGTAGATTTAGAAGGAAGGTTTTAAAAATGCCCAACAATGTTTCTAATATTTTCAGTCAGCTACTGCATGTTAATCTCAAAGGAATTTATTTTTCTAAGGCCTAAGGCCTGCAAATGCCTAGGATGGTGAAAAACTATTATCCCTAAGTAGTCCCACTGAGCTCATGTTTGCAAGACTGGGGCCCATTTTTTTTAAATGAAAAAATATCTGGTCTTCAACAGTAAATCTGGGTGATATTTTCATAGAAGCACTAAGTTTACCTGTTCAGAAACTGACCTGTGTTTTCTTCTTGTCGCTGTTGTTGTACCTCATACACACAGCTCTGTGAAATGCCTAGACTTGGGGGCCAAATTGGAATAGTTAAGATTCTTTGTCCCCTAGGAAACTGTTCTTGACCAGACACCTAAAAAAGATATACAATTGTTTCAAACAGAATCTGATTTAGTTCACAAGATACCTGTGCAAAATTTTAATTTAAAAAACCATTTTTTTAAGTCAACTGTGATCCAATTAACAAAAGTCATACTGCTAAAGAGTTCACTTTTCTTATCCATGCTGCGATGGAGTGTATGAACCAAACAGTGGACACTTAAGCCCAATTAGGCCATAAGGTGTAATTGGTGACCAAACTCAGACTGGGAGGATCTTCAGAAAGGAAGGTGCACAGGGCAGTGGAAGGAAAGCAATGGAGGATACCCAGGTGAGGCGTAGAGGGTGTTTCCTCTCTTGGGCTAAAGGCTGAGAAGTCTGGGAGGCCTGAAGCCTAGAGCCAAAACTGGAGGGCCTCAAGCCAGGAGGAAGATTGGGAGGCCAGGGGCAGTGAATCCTAGGGCCAGAGGCAGGTTGCCTTGAGCCAGCAGGAAACCAGAGGCAGTTAAGTCCAAGAGGCTGTGACAAGTAAATCATTTGGACTGGACATTGAGGGGCTCCAGGGAGAAAGTCAAGAACTCTGCTGTCACACTCAGGGCACTACAAAGCGGGAGATATCTGGAAGACACAAGTCTGGAGCAAGCGCCTCTGGCTGATCCTGACGCAGGGATACAAACCAGATCTCTAGGGAGACCTTCTGGGAGGTGTTGGTCCTTACAAAAAACCCAGAAAGGGGCTGGAGAAAAAGGCTTGAAGAAAAACTAATGATACAAAGGAGTCCAGAGAGGTGGTGGAAACGAGTCTGACAGAGCAGACCTTGGCTGCTCATCCTAGGTTCTCTGGACTGGAACCCAGCATAGAGACTGGGCCTACATTCCCATACTACCCACTGGAAAAGTGGTGTGAAGCCCCTGGAAGTAAGGGGATCAGGGCAATTCAGAGCCTGGAGAGATGGAGGTAAGGGCCAATGGACCCTGAGTCAGAGGCCAGAGTCCCTTGGGTTGATTTGTTGGACTTTTGTTTGTGGGTCTTTGTTACCATGAAAGGAGCATAAAACTAAAATGTGACCTGGGTGGAGGGCCAAAATGTGAGAAGAGAAAGACCACTAAAGGACCAGAATAGCCATCAGCAGGGGATGCTAGAAAAGGCAAAGCTGTTACGCTACACCCAGCCACAAGGGGGCACACTTGCAGTGAGTCCACTCTTCTATACATGCCTTACAAACATGCCTTTTGTAGCAGCTCCTCAAAGCTTTCTCTGCTAAACCATGATATTCTTTATATGCAATTTGCTCTCGCTTATCAACATCTTTACAACAATCCTATTTTGTAAAATAGTTCTTGTGAGACTAGACAGAGCTATGAAGACCTCTTGTGAGCAACAACAAATGCTCTAGTGTAAACAGATCACTGACTGCTGACATTGCTTTCAACAATGGGGCATTTATTCTTCTGGGAGAAAATCAAAAGGGGGCTGAAAATGGGGTTGGCAGCTGATGGGCAGTTAACACCAATAATGGAAAATTCACATTTCCCTAGTGTAAATGCTTTAGTCACTTCAAATTAAATAGCTATTTGTGATATGTCAAATGGCTATATTCACACTAAACTCGCATAAAATATCTTAGAATGTGGTGCCACATTCAAACATGGCTTCTACTCGGGTCACCTAGCAATCATAACTTTGACTTTACACGTACGCTAACCAATACAGCCCCGGCTCATCCATAATGTGACAATAATCCTTTTGAACAGGATCAGAAGGTCTGTGATTAAATCTCCTCCCACACAAAAACCTGAGACACTTAAATCAAAACTAATAATGACGTAAGGTGGAACAGTATTTTACTCTGTCAGTAGAACATGTTTTATGGACATTTAAGCCAAGTTAATGAAAAGGGAAGTTTGGTCTTAGCCTGATTGATAACATAGGCCCTATTGTATTGCCAGTTGTAAAAGGAATACCTTAATCCTTAAATAAAATTCTTTTTGGGGAAAAATTACCCTTTACAAAAGAAAAGGAACACTTGCCAAGTGCTAGACTTGGCATTTAAAGTGTTCTCAGAAAAATGGGCCAGATCTACACTACAGACCTATATCAGTATAACTACATTACACAGGGGTGTAAAAAATCCACACCCGAGTGACAGTTTTACTGACCTACATCCCATGTAGACAGCACTATGTCAATGGGAGAGCTTCTCCTGCCAACATAGTTCCCGCTTCTTAGGGAAGTGGATTAACTGCGCCAATGGGAGAAGCTCTTCCGTCGGCATAGGAGAATCTTCACTAAAGCACTACAGCTGTGGTCTACGTGAAGACAAGACTTAAATTAAGCCAGAGGTTAGGTCCAGATACATATCTGTAACTGAACATATACCACTTTCAAGAACAATTGTTTATATGTTTTAAAACATTAGAGTTGAAGTTGCACTTCTGAAACAAAACACCGAGTCAGCCTCAGACCTAGCATAGCAATTCTGTGGCAGACTTTCCTTTGTTTGTAGATTTTAGAGTGGAGGTCAAAATCGGGCTTCTAATGGAAACTCAACTCCACACAGAACTGGAAAGGGTTAAGGTAGGCCTATTAACTCTACAGGCTGCACCTGGAAGGAAAGTCAGGGAGTGGGGAATTGATTGCAAGTAGGTTCAAAGCCAGGAAGCTTGCAACAGACAGGGGCTGCTGCTGGGAAAAGGGATGAGGGTTTGGCGCTATTATACCCAGGCAAGAAGGGGAATCAGGAATTGTAGGAAGCAGTCCAGGGAAGGAGCAGTGAGAGGAAAGCCCAGAACTGCTGTGTGTAGGGTCCCTGGACTGGAACCTGGAGTAGTGAATAAGCTTGGGTTCCCCTACAAGTCACTGAGGGCATTGCAGAGACTGTGGTATAGAACAGGAAGACTGCCTGGGTTACTGTGGTGGTGATAGAGAATTGAAGTACTGTACCCCGAAAAGGGGAATGCTGAGTGACCAAGCCGGAGGGCTGTGTCATGAAGACACTGTGGTTCCAGCGATGAGAGGAACTGCAGACCTGAGAGAGACAATGTGATGGCATGTGATCATGAGAAGGGATGTCGATCTCGAGAGCTAATCCCACAACTGATCAGGAGGAGGCACCAGATAAGTGGTGAATGGTGCACCCCATGAAAGGTGGCCAGTGTCACTCCATAAAATATTCCTTTTCCACCAGCATTAATTCTTACTTGAGATTAAAAGAACACCTACCTTTCCTATAGGTAGTCCTTCATAATTCAGCTTTCCTTCCTTTATAAAACTGTACAGTGGAGAACCAGGAACAGAGTTGAAGTCACCACAAATGATAATAGGACAGAATCTACCATCTTTCTGATGGGCAACGCTGGCAATCTCTGCCAGTAACATTGCCAGTTGGGTCAGCTTAATGTCCCCTCGCCTTGGATTATACAGCAGATGTGTGTTGGCTATACAGACTGCAGCAGTAGCTTTACAGTGAAATCTGGGCTGCAGAAGCAACACTAGTCCAACATTGTCTCTGTCCAAGAGTGGAATATCATGGCGGAAAAATTCCACTGGGTTTGAAGAGATGAGATTAAATTTGGAAATTTTGAAGCAAATAGCACAGCCATCAGGTTTCCTTCCTGTCCTCATTTTATATTCACAATGATAACCTATACGAAAGAAATGTGAATATTAACGGAAAAAAACAAACAAACCAAGAACATAGCTCATGCTATTGTTTTTCCATAGTAGTCAATACCTGAGCCTGCTATAGTTAAGGCTTCAAAAAGTTTCCATTGTACCCATTTTCAAATGTTCCTAACTTTGAGATCTTCACCTTTTGGACTGAAATGTGCCATATTTGGTCTGTGTCTGAAAACTAATTATAAAAAAGAATGTAAGCATCTGAAAACGGGGGGATTATAATGGACGCTGTTTTGCATAATTAAATACATATGTAAAGAGAAAAAAAAAGTCTTTATAAATGACTTTCTAAAAATATGCCTCCCAATAATATTCTTACCAATAAATCCCCTTTTACTTTAATGGCTGCTGGGGAGGTGGGGTGGGGGGTGGGGAGGGGAGTGAATCACTCTCCTAGTGCACATGTTAACACAGGGCCTGATATTCATTTACCTGAAGAGCTGTTTACACTGCTCTGTACACTGACTGAGCAGTGTAAAGGGGCTAAAGTGTAAGTGAGCATCAGGCCCATGATCTTTCAAAATAAGAGTTGCTTCGCTTTAGTACTGTACTGCCATCCCAAGAGGGCAAACTTGATAGCTCAACAACCCACATTCAGATTTCAGGCCCCGAATAGCACTTTTGTTTTCCGGGAGGGAAAAAGTTCACTTTTGCATTCTCTGAAAGAGAAAAGATACATGTAACCATATCATTCCTCTTTTACAGATATGTCTATGTTTGCTGTGACTTGTTAAAATAAAACCAGATTTCTGAGGCTATACATCATGCATCCAAGGAACTCACATCCAAGTTTTTCTTTCCTTTCTGAGAAGTTAACTTGAACAATAAATCCAATCCAGTATTGTCTGCAGTGTATATACTTCTAAACTAATGATTTAAGATACTCAGCATGGTGCTTCTCATGTGTCATAGGAGAAGTCAAATGTAAAATGACTGATGCTTTAAAGTTTATTCAGGGTGCTACCAGAGTAGCTTAATAATGCTTCACTTGTGAAACATTCATATTAAGAACAGTACTTGACAGATTTCTGTAGGTCAGAAATGATTGTCTGACAGCTTTAACAACCCAGTAGTTTATATTAAAACAGTAATGTTATGATAATCACCCAACTTTCTGAAATTTGCTTTACAGTAGTAAGAGCTGCATGGTCTCAAGATAAGCTCCCAGTGCCTTCTCAATAAATTAAGAGTTCCTTGTACCCAACACAGCTTAGAAATGACAAGCTTTTTTGAAAGTTCTTTTCATACAGAGCAAGACATTTATATTCAACATTACCGATACATTATTTGGGGATTATAATATTTTCCATTAGCTGTAACTGTCACAAAAGGTAAGGATTTTCTACAATTCTATGTATGACATAAGTGCTATATCTTCCACAGCAATTAAAAATAACTATTTATGAAAGTATACTTTAAATTATCAAGATAGAATGAGTGTATTAACCACTTCAGGGAACACACGGCATTACATAAATGGTTACACTAAACTCTAAAGCATACATAATATAGAATTTAGAAGCCAACCAACAAGAATGTTTCTGATTTGTAGCTTCAGTTATACCTAGAATTGAGATCCAACATCTACATCCCTCTAGAATTTAAGGAACTGACTTGCATGTTTTAAGCATCTCTTGTGAAGTGATGAGTGGCCTCCTTTCCCACTGAAGCCAATCAGCAATTTACAGAATCAGATCTTAAGTAAATTCATTAGAAAGTAGTTATGGGCCCAGTTCTGTACTTCATATGCAGGCAAAATTCAGGCATTAATGAGTTTGCCAAAATAAAGAGTGCAAGAGCAGGTCTTAAAGTAACACCTATTTATCTAATTTTTGCCATATGAAAAATGGCTCTCTCTTAATTCCACATAGATTATTTCTTATAAGTACATTAAAAAAGGAAAATGTAATGAAATGTGGGACAAAAGTGTTCCATCATACCCAAATATTCCAAACTCGGCTTGATTTCCATTCCAAAATGGTCCTCTTGTACTTCTTGCAAACACAGTACCTAAAAGAGTTTTTCCAATTTGAATGTAATACATTAACAAACATATTAACAAAAGCTTTCACTTCATTAACTAGTGCATCTATGTTTTTCCTTGAAGCTTTAGTAACTTTATTTACAGAGGTAAAAACTATCATGCTATTTAAACTATTTAAAAACTGCTTAGTGTAAGGAGTATTTGATACCCATTCTATTCATTCAAAAATCTAATCTGTCTAATCATGTAGATTTACCAAATAACTAAGTGACAAAGAATAAAAAAAGCTCCCCGTTGACAAGAAGCTAAATTTTCAAGTTTGGGTGCTTGACTGGGATGTCCTAACCCTATTCTTGGACACAAATCAGCACTTAAGCCCCACTCTGGTAAACACTTATGTACATGAGTAACTTTACTCATGTGAGAAGCCTTGATGACATCAGCTTGCAAAGCTCTAAGTAGTAGCAGAGGCTCTGGAGATATCTGTCCACAGACTCCCTAAAACAGCATTGCATAGGTTTATACTCATCTCACATTTGGGAGATTAACTACCACAAGGCTAGAAATTTATTTTTAAAGAAAAGTTTAGATTCTGCAGGTGATGAGAGACTCCCAGGTAAACTTCCCACTCCTCAAGAGCAAGTGCATTTTTCAAGTCCTGAACAAAGAGCAGCTCATAACCACCCATCGCCCCAAACCTGGTGAGTGGCAAAATAACCTGCACCTTAAATGCTGGAGAACAACTGGGAGGTGGGGTGGAAGAGGAAAACACCAGACTGATCACCCATTGTTATGAAAGTACCACTCGGTCTCTAAGGGCTTGTCTACAGTTACAGGGCTACAGGCTGTGGCGCTTCAGCATAGACCAGGGGTGGGCAAGCTTTTTGGCCTGAGGGGCGCATTGGGTTTCATAAATTGTATGGAGGGCCGGTTAGGGGAGGGGGTCATGGGCTGGCCCCCACCTCCTATCTGCCCCCCCCGGGACACCTGCCCCATCCAACCCCCCCTGTTCCCTGACAGCCCCTCTGGGACCCCTGCCCCATCCACACACCCCTGCTCCCTGTCCCCTGACCACCCCCAGGCCCCCGCCGCCCCATCCAACCCCTCCTCTCATTCCTGACAGCCCCCCTGCCCCATCCAACCACCCTTGTCCCTGTTCCCTGATGCCCCATCCAACCACCCTCCTTCCTGACTGCCCCCTCCGGGATCCCTGCCCCCATTCAACCCCCTGTTCCCCCCCAACCACCCTGACCCCATCCACACCTCTGCCCCCTGACCACCACCCTGAACTCCCCTGCCCTCTATCCAACCTCCCCTGCTCCCCTACCATGCTGCCTGGAGCACCGGTGGCTGGCGCCGCTACAGCCGCACCGCCCAGCTGGAGCCAGGCCACGCTGCCGCCACCACGCAGCACAGAGACCGGGTCAGGCCAGGTTCTGCAGCTGCGCTGCCCCAAGAGCTCACAGCCCCACCGCCCAGAGCATTGCGCCGGTGGCGGAGCGAGCAAGCTGAGGCTGTGGGGGAGGGGGGACAGCAGGGGAGGGGCTGGGGCTAGCCTCCCAGGCCAGGAGCTCACCTCTAGCGTAGACATTACCTATGCCAACAGGAAGGATTATCCCAACAGTAGGGCCCTACCCAATTCACAGCCGTGAAAAACGCATCAGACTGACTGTGAAATCTGGTCTCCCCCCATGAAATCTGGTCTTTCGTGTGCTTTTATCCTATACTATACAGATTTCACAGGGGAGACCAGCATTTCTCATATTGGGGGTACGGGGGGGGGGTGTCACAAGCGTATTTTAGGGGGGTTGCGGTATTGCCACCCTTACTCCTGTGCTGCCTTCAGAGCTCGGCAGCCAGAGAGCAGCGACTGTTGGATGGACACCCAACTTTGAAGGCAACAGCACAGAAGTAAGGGTGGCAATACCATACTATGCCATCCTTACTTCTATGCTGCTGCTGGTGGTGGCTCTGCCTTAAGAGCTGGGCTCCCAGCCAGCAGCCGCCGCTCTCTTGCTGCCCAGCTCTGAAGGCAGCAGCAGCGCAGAAGTAAGGATATCAGTACCGCAGCCCCCTCTACAATAACCTTCCGACTCCACCCCCCCACACACCCGGCCAGGTCCTTTTTGGGTCAGAACCCCTACAATTACAACACTGTGAAATTTCAGATTGAAATAGCTGAAATAATGAAATTTACTATATTTAAAATCCTCTGACTGTGAAATTGACCAAAATGGACCATGAATTTGGTAAGGCCCTATCCATCAGAATAAGTAATCCACCTCCCCAAGAGGCGGTAGCTAGGTCAACGGAAGAATTCTTCCATCAACCTAGTGCTGTCTACATGGGGACTTAGGTTGGTTTAACTACACTGCTCAGCGGCGTGGATTTTTTATACCCTTGAGCAACATAGTTATGTTGACCTAACTTTCTATCACAGACCAGGCCTAAGTCTCATCTGAAAGAGACATGCATTGCAAACAACCATATTTCTCTAATCTCAGAAAAACTGATTCAGTCCTGCTGAATGTTAAGCCTGGGGAGCCTATGTATTTGAAACCTGAGACCAGCAGCAATTCTATCATTTAAGGATTTGATACAGTCCAAATAAGTATATTAATGTAGTGTGTCTGCCTTCTAAATCAAGGATCCAGACAGGAGCAGCTGCTCCAGTGCTTTTTCCACCAACAGGGTTCAAAGTATCACAGCAAGCCTTCAGGAAGGGCTCCTATGATTCACTGAATACCTTGAATACCACATTACTATTCACATAAAAAATGATGTTAAAAGAACATTAAGTTTGCAAAGCCAAGCAGTCAAAAGTTAGGAAGTGCCAGAAATAAGGTTGCCTGTGCAACCTTAATTCAGCCCCCTTGTGCACATACATTATGATACAGTCTTTAATTATGTGATCACAGGACCTCTGCCTCAGTCAGTGCACAGGATGGATAATGTTCACTTAATGAGCTATTCCATATTTTGTTTTGTCCTCGTTCAATATATGACTCTGGGCTTTATTTACTAGGCACTATACAAACCCTGTTCTGAAGCACTTGGATACTATAGTGATGAGCATCACAAAAAAGCCCAAATGCTTCACAAATGTAAATCAATTTATCATCACAGTACCCTGTGAGGGGATGGTATTATCCCTAACTTTACAGATGGGGAGCTGAGGCACAGTGAGATTAAGATCAAAAGTACCCACTAACTTTGGATGCTCAATTTGAGAAACCTGATTTTTTAGGGTGCCTAGCAGTTTGACTGTTGTATGTTTAAAGCACAGCTCCCACTGTCTTAGTGCCAGTTGTGAATGCTCAGCATTTCTGCAGGTCAGACTCCAGAGTCTGAAGTTGGGCACACAGAAAATGGAGAATACACCACAATTACTGACCACCTCTGAAAAGTCTAGTTTCAGTGATTTGCCCAACATCACACAGGAACTCTGTGGCAGAGGTAGAGACAGAAACCAATTCTCCAGGACAACATTCAGCTGTTTGAACTACAAGTCCCCCCTCTCTGTTCCAGCCATCCTCTGCCTTATTCACTACAAACCTTCCATCTTCTGCAACAGATGAAGCAGGGTCCTACAGACAACAGTCTCGTTTACTACACAACCCTGATTCATCCCCAAAGCAGGTCCAGCCTGTACACTGAATGAGGCAGGAGTCCTGTGAAAAAAAATAGTATGTGATCATGGAACTAAAGATTGTATCAAAGTACACACAACGGGGCCGGATTAAGGTTGCACAAGCACCTTAATTCTGGCATTTTGTAATTTAAGTGTTGACTTTGCAACCTCCATAATGGTGTTTGTGTAACTTCCTAGGTTCTTAAAAAAAACTGAAAAACAGAAATTTGATCATGTGGCATCATACTGACACCCACATGGGTTACCACCAGGATTGCAACCTTTAGATCTACCTCTGTCACTTAAGCTAACAGAGTAACTGATAGTGATAAATTGTCATCCTGTGTGGGGACCAGAATTAGTGGGGGATGAGACTCAGTTTGCCAGTGGGTTTCACAGATATTGCTGAAAGCAGAGGAATGGGGAGACTCAGGAATCTTGGGTTCCACTGCAGGCTCTAGGGGACACTCTTCTTCCCATTTGCCCCCCAAACCCAAGCTTGACCCCTTCTGCTCCATCCATGTCTTAGTCCTGATTCCTCCTTACCCCTGCTGACTCCTTGTCCCAATCCCAGTCTGCCGAGTCCCAGTCTCCACTCCACACATTCAGTTCCAGTCTCCTTGCCCAGCCAGTCTCAGTTCTCCACCTGTACCCCAACTACCTATCAGACCTCTCTCCCCTCCTCCGGTCCACTCCCCGCATCCTTTCCCCGTCCTCAGTCCCAATCTCCTTGTCCAGCCTGTCCATTTCCCCCCAGTTCTTGGTCTAATTTCAATCTCCCATCCCCCTAAGACAAGTGGCTCCCAGTAACCCTGCACCCCCTTCACTAGCTGCCAGTCTCTTTGCCCAGCCAGCTCATCTCCGCACTCCAACTCAGTCAATCCCCCTGCAGCCTCCCAAATCCCAGATTTCTTGTTCCAATCAACTCTTCCTTCTCCCATCCGGATTTTGTGCCCTCATGATGCGAATCAGATAGCTTCTTCCTCCCTGCTGGGCTGCTACCAGCAGGGAGTCACAGAAAGCATAGGAGTGACAGGCTCCATGCTTTGTTCCAGTGCAAGCCCTACTCCAGAGCAGCCAAGAGTACGGTGACCAGATGTCCCGATTTTATAGGGACAGTCCTGATTTTTGGGGCTTTTTCCTATATAGGCTCCTATAACCTCTCACCCCCAGTCCCGATTTTTCACACTTGCTGTCTGGTCACCCTAGCCAAGAGCAACAGTTAGGGTTTGTCTACACTGGCAATGTTAAAGTGCTTTAACATGGCTTGTGTAGTCACGGCACAGCTCTAAAAAACCACCTCCACAAGGGGCGAGGCTCCCAGCGCTGGTGCACTGTCTACACTGGCGCTTTACAGCGCTGAAATTTGCTGTGCTCAAGGGGGTGTTTTTTTCACACTCCTGAGTGAGAAAGTTGCAGCGCTGTAAAGTGCCAGTGTAGACAAGCCCTTACAGGGAAAGTCTTTTTGAATCCCTGAGCATGCTCCAGCCCATGGCTACAATCATCCTATGGGGATGGCACATGGTCAGTCTGGTCAGCACTGAGAGGGGCTCGGAGAGGAGAGAACTGTCAGATTTCAGCAGTTAAAAATCAAAGTCTCTATTACGCATTTGCAAACTGATTATTTTCCCCAAAAGGCTTATAACATGGCCAAATTCGGGTGGATTTTTTCAAGGCCAGCAAAAGATGCATCTCTGACACAAAGGCCGCCCGCTGCTGCTCCCCAACCCTGCACTGCCATATTTCAAATCCCCACCACTCCAAAGCATGTGGGAACTACAATTTTTCAAAGAAAAGTTCACCAGAATGTAACATGGCAAAATAATGCATTTTTCCCTGGCTCCATTCTTGCAAACAAACAATTGAACTGTTTGGCTGAAATGTTCCAAGAAAATTAATTGAGGCAGACACCCAGCAGGGAAAATTTTAGCCCAAATGGTTAGTTACAAGACCCTATTTTCAGTTTAATTATAATGGAAACTGTCAGGCAACCTTAAAAGGTAGTGCTACCAGCCCTGCCTATAAACAAACGTTTATATTGTGCTAGCATCGATAGCGCCAACCAGACTAGACTAAAACATGTACAGGGCTTTACAAACACACAGTAAAGGACAGTCTCTTCAAAGATTTTACAATCTGAACAAAACAGGCAAGTTGTGTGGTGTGGAGAAGACAGGATAACAACAGCAATGTGCACAATTCTTAGCCAATCAGGAGCAACAATCACAATTTGTCACCAACATTCTCAGGTTACCATTTCATATATACATTAAGGAAGGGGAGAGATTTAAAGGAGGATGAGGTAAGTAGCTTTCTAGATTTTGACTGAGATCTTTTTCCACTCATAATGGGCAGCATAGGAGGATGTGCTTGTTGCAGAAGTGGGCAATCAAGGCAATCAAGCCTGGCATCACTAATGAAGGAAAGACAGGAGTTGACCTTGTGATAAATTAAAAGGTCTGATAGGTAGTGCAGAAGTAGGTTGTGAAGGACTTTGCGAGAGCTGCTGCAAGCAAAATGGTGTTCTTAACAGCAGCATTTTGAATGGACTTAAGTGATGAGGTTGTAGGCACTGAGAGAAGAAATTACAATAGTTAAAGTGTGAAGCAATCAGGACTTGGATAAGAATTTTGGTAGCATGGACAGAGAGGAAAGACTGGATCTTAGAGGAGTTGTGCAAGAAAAAAAGTGGGAAGATTTGGACATGGCCTGGATGTGTAGGTTTGAAGAGAGGGCTGAGCCAAAGATGAGGTAAAAGTTGCAGGCCTGAGTGATAGACCGCTGTCCACTCCAATAGAGAGGCAGGAGAGAAGCTAGTTTCAAGAGAAAATAATGAATTCTGTTTTGCCCATGTTAATTTTTAGTAGACAGCTAAACATCCATGATGAGACATCACAAAAGACAAGCTTAAATGGAGGGGTGAGGTCTAGCGTGGAGAGACAGATCTGCAGGTCATCAGTATAAAGATGGTAGTCAAAGCCACATTTGCAAATGAGATCAACCAAAGATAAGATACTGAGGGAGAAGAGGAGATTGCCAAAGGCAGAGCCCTAGAGAGGACCTCCCACTGAAAGGGAGGGAAGGAGGATGATGACCCACTGAATAAGACACCTAAAGGGTAGGAAGAGAATCAGGAAATGAAGTCATGAAAGTGCAGGAATGATGGGATAATGAGAGACTGTTTGACTGTAGAAGCATGAAGGACAGTTTCAGAAGTGCATGTATAAATATAGTAGTGAGGATTACAGTAACACTACCAGTGGCTACTGCCTCAGGCTTAGATCACTCAGGCCTTGGCTACACTGGCGCTTTACAGCGCTGCAACTTTCTGACTCAGGAGTGTGAAAAAACACCCCCCTGAGCGCAGGAAGTTACAGCGCTGTAAAGTGCCAGTGTAAATAGTGCCCCAGCTAATCCCCTCGGGGAGGTGGAGTACCTGCAGCGCCGCGAGAGCTCTCTCCCAGCGCTGGCGCCGCGACCATACTCGCACTTCAAAGCGCTGCCGCGGGAGCACTCCCGCAGCAGCGCTTTGGAGTTTCGAGTGTAGCCAAGCCCTCAGAAAACACTACGTTGGTAAACATGAACCAGCAGTACTAATAAGCATGACTTGATAACTTAAAGAACAGCTGAATCCATTAGACAGCTTATCTACTAGATCACACACAATCCAAAACTACTCTTGCTACACGTTGAATATATTGTTCTCAATAAAACCTGTGTTAGTTTTCCACTTACATCTGCATCCAGTTGTTTGATTTCCCGTAGAATGTTGGGAAATCTATAACCCCACATTAACACTGGCTGTCTGCAGTGTTTATACAGATGGGAGTTATCTTCTAACAAATTCTGTGAAAGGATATTGTAGGACATCACAGTAAAATCAAACTTTCCTTTGTCTTCTGCATTGTTTTGGTCAATTTGCTTATCTTCAAGAATCTTCATTGTTTTACTATGGTGACAGAAATACTCCCAATTTCTTTTGATCAGGCCTGTTAAAACATTAAATACCAAAATGAATGATCATGTAATACATTTGCATTACCATATGTTGATCTTACAACTTGTTTCATATGCGACATATTGTACTTAAGGAATTATTATTCCTCGAGAGCTCCCTTTGCTTAAACAAATTATAGGCAAATTTGTATCTCATGATTAGAAATATTTCAGACCTTTCATTTGAGATGGAAATAATAAACTGCTCATATAAACTGCATAATTTGTAGCCACTGTATGCCCCACATTTCAGACTTCTCTGAAGTTGGAGTAACCGGATACATCCTATGAAGCACATTATGGCCAGTTTCCACAGATATGCTACTCATAGTGTTTATAACTCTCCTGTAAAGTTTGGGGATTAGAGAGACTCAAAAGCTTCCATATGGTTCTGAATTTGGAGCCACAAGAACCACTGAAAATGCCATCTTGCCTCTTTGCATTATCTCCTATACAGTATCAAGAATGGTAGAGGATCTGGAAGCAGGTAGCAAGACTGATACTCTTATTTAAGCGCTTGTCTAGACTACAAAATTAAGTTGGCTTTACCTAATTCGACCTTGAGCCTCCGAATTAAATCAATTGTGCGTGGCCACACCATGCTCATTGCCTCGATGGAGTGCGTCCTCACTAGCAGTGCCTGCGTCGATGCACAAAGCAGTGCATCGTGGCTAGCTATCCCAAAATGCGACTTGCCATAGTGTGATTTGGGAAGATTGTGCAATGTCTCATGGGACCAAAACATTGTCGCAGGGGAGAATAGGAACATTGCTTCGGCATCCCATAATGCACTGTGCTCAATGGCAAACAACCCAGTGGTTTTCACGCCTTAAAACCGCCACGTGTACGCCATGACTCCAGAAGCATGGAGCCTGCTCAGTTGTGCAGTCTTGCTGTGAGCGTCTCAAACACCTCGCGCCTTCTCCTGCATTATTTCCACAGCCGAAGTGGGTCTGCTGCATAGAACATAGCGATGTACTGCAGGCAGCCCTGCTCCAAGCCATTGAAAAACAATTCACAGTTGCTACTGGCAGTCCCAGAGCAGCTGCACTCTGAGCACCGTTTCTGGTCCCCTGAAACAAGCACTGACTGGTGAGACTGCATCGTTTTGCAGGTATGAGCAGTGGCTGCAGAACTTTCGAATGCAGAAGGCCACCTTCCAGGAACTTTGTGCAGACCTTTCCCCAGCCTGCAGTTCAGCAACACAAAAATGAGAGCTAGTCTGACAATAGAGAAGGGAGTGGCAATCGCTGTTTGGAAGCCTGCAATGCTAGATAGTTACCGGTCAGTGAGGAATCAATTTGGAGTAAGTAAATCAACTGTGGGAGCTGCTGTGCTCCAAGTGTGCAGGGCCATTAATCGACTTATGCTATGAAGGGTAGTGAGTCTGGAAAATGTGCAGGACATAGGGAACCCCATCGCTGCAAAACCATCCACTAACTGCGGTGGGGTGATAGATGGCATGCACATCCCCATCTTGGCTCCAGACTACCTTTCCAAAGAGTACATAAACCGAAAGGGATACTTTTCAATGGTGTTGCAAGCACTAGTGGATCACAGGGGGTGTTTCACGGTCATCAACATAGGATGGTCAGGAAAGGTTCATGACACGTGCATCTTTAGGAACTCGGGTCTGTTCAAAAAGCTGCAATCAGGAACTTTCTTTCCAGACCACAAAATGAACATTGATGATGTTGAGATGCCTACACGTATCCTGGGGGACCCAGCCTACCCTTGCTCCCCATGGCTCATGAAGCCATACACTGGCTGTCTGGACAGCAGTAAGGAACGGTTCAATATAAGCTCAGCAAGTGCAGAATGGTGGTTGAATGTGCCTTTGGTCATCTGAAAGGGCGATGGAGACGTTTACTAACAAGGCTGGACCTTAGCAAAGAGAACATCCCCATGGTTATAGCTGCCTGCTGTGTGCTCCATATCATCTGAGGGGAAAAAAGGGAGAAAGTTTTCCACAGGAGTGGGCAGTTGAGACAGATCACATGTCAGTCATTTTTGAGCAGCCAGACACCAGAGCAATAAGAAGAGCACAGCAAGGGGCGCTGTGTATCTGCAAGGCTTTGAAAAGCCGTTTCAATAATGAGTCACAGTAATGTGAGCTGCTTGTCTGCATTGTGCTTTCCCAAACCTTCACCTGCCTTGTATCACTGTCCCTGTAAAGCCAACCCCCCACCCAAGCCCACTGCTTCTACTCAATAAAGAACATTTATTTCTCAAATCCATTTACTTTATTTAACAAACATAAGTAAAGAGGGAGAATAGAAAAAAAATGTAACCTTGGGGAAAAGGGGCTTTAAAGTTGGAACTGGAAAAACATTTTCAGCTGTGTAACATAACACCGCATTCCAGACCATCAAAGATCTGTGAATGGGCGCCTTCTGTTCCTTGTACCCTCCCCGAAGTAAGTGAAAGGGATAATGGACTTTTTGCCCAGGCCTCATGGAACACTTGGTGGAGGGTGATTCTGCACCAGGCGATGATGGCTGGCTGTCCACCAGGGTCTGCAGAGGGACTCTACCCTTCTGCTTCTGTTCCTGCAGTTCAACCAGACACCTCAACATGTCTGCTTGGTACTTCATAATCCAAAGCATCTCATCCTGTTCTGCACGCTCTTGCTCACTGGAAGCTTTCCTGCTCTTCGTTGTCCACGTCTAAGTTTTTGGACAGTGAAATCCTCCACGCTCTCCGCTCTGTTTCAGCTGTCCCGGAAGCGTTCGCTATCTCGGTGAACATGTCCTCCTGCGTTCTCTTTCTTTCTCCTCCTTCTAATCAGTGAAAGTCTGCTTTCAGGTGTTGATGACACGCCAAAGGACACATTTCCAGCTCTTTTATTTTTTCCCTATTTTTATGGGAAAAAATAAAGGAACCATTGTACATGAATAAAATGTTTCCATAATAAGGTCGTTTTCATAAAAAAACCCTTATTACACTAGATGCAAGCCATAACATAATCACAATCCATAACCATTCACTGTGCCATTCTGCTGCTCCAGCCATGGTGAGTAGGCCCCCCCTGGGTCATGGGTGAATGCACTTTTAATAAAGTTTATGGCAGGCTCATGTTGGGAGCAGAGGTAGCTAGTCGAACAATGGCCCTTCCCCATAGCACCACAAGAAGCTGTTTACGAACGGGGGGGAGGAACGTTTTCACTCCCAAATTGCAGAATCGCTCATGTGGAGTCCCAGTCTCTTATCCGCCACTTTAAACTGCTTGCCAACCCATGCCGAGCACAGTAAAGGCGCATTAGCGGCTGGGTGGTTTGGCGATCTGGAATGTGGGTGGTGGTGGTGGTGTCTATATGCCCTTTTTTTTTCCTTATAAGAGCATTTTTAATGAGAACTTCCCTCCCGTTTTCCCTAGGCAACCCGATGTGATATCAGTCTCCTGAGGGTAACAGAGGTGGAAAGGAAGGAGATGCTGCAAGCATCTGGGTATAGACCTGGTCCTTATGCTGCTATGCTGTGTACCACAATGATGCCAGCAGAATTAATTCAGGAGTTGCATTGTAAAGTGTCCTTCCATGGTGGAAGAAATAAGACTGCCCTGCTCAGAAACCTTCTGCAAAGGATTGCAGAGTACCTCCATGAAAGTTTCCTAGAGATATCCATGCAGGATTCCCAGGCTATTCCAGTCCACCTAAACAGTCTTTTCCAGGGGCCACCCTCTGCGTAGCTGGAGTGGCCTCTTGTAAGCAGAGAACCACAACACCTCGCTTTTTCTTCACAATAAACATGCAATACCACCGAACGTGTGTGCCCACTAAAGTTTAACTGGACTTTGATTGTAACTGTATACTCACCAGAGGTGCCTTTCCTGGCATCACGGTCAGCCACCGTGATGTCCTACGACCCACAGGGCTCCAGGGTTAAAAATCTTTCCTGGTTCTCGGGGAGAATGGATCCACCGCTTGCCTGTTTCCCATTCTCCTCCTCCTCTTCCTCATCCACCAAATCGTCCTCCTTGTTGTCCCTAGACTCACATCTGTGAGGTGTCCACTTACTTGTGAGGATGCTGGTAGGGTCACCCCTGAGAATCGCATGCAGCTCGTTGTAGAGCCCGCATACGTGGGGTTCAGCACCAGAATGACTGTTCACCTCCCTTGCCTTCTCGTATGCTTGGCGAAGTTTTTTTATTTTCACATGGCAGTGCTGTGTGTCCCTCGTGTAGCCCTTCTCCCCCATTCCATGAGCGATCTTTGCATAGATGTCAGCATTTCTTCTGCTGGATAGGAGCTCTGCCTGCACAGACTCTTCTCCCCACACAGCGATGAGATCCACCACCTCCTGTGCAGACCAGGCTGGAGCGCGTTTGGGGCGTGTAGTCTCCATGATCAGCTGTGCTCACGCTGGCAGGCTCCCAATGCTGATCAAACAGGAAATGGGAAATCAAAAATTCCCAGAGCTTTAGCCGGGGAGGGGCTGTTTACTGTGTACCTGGCTGCAGTGCAGCAGAGTTGAGAATGATCTCCACAGCGGTCACAGATGAGCATTGTGGGACACCACCTGGAGGCCAATTAAGTCGAATTACACAATGCTGCGTCTGCACTACCTCGTGAATTAAGTGCTACGCCTCTCGCAGAGGTGGATTACAGAAGTCGACATTAGAGGCGACTTAGGTCAGCGTAAAGGACCCGGTAGTTTAGACATACATTAGCAGGTTGACTTAAGGTGGCTTCCTTCAACCTAACTTTTTAGTGTAGATCAGGCCTAAGGGAATCCTGCAGGGATGAGTATACCCCTGGGAAGCATTGACCATTTTTAATGAAAACTATTCAGTTCAACTACTTGAGACACAAGTATATTTTGACTATTTCCATGTAAGTTTATACACAGCCTGAGGCCAAAGATGTATTGTATGACAATTATGCCTCTTACTCCCTTGAAAGGTAGATGGAAGACAGATACCTGAACTATGCACCAATTAAATATTTATGCCAGTGGCTGTCCCACCTCTGCTATTTAACTGTATTTGGGCTATTCCATTCTAAATCCTAAGGGTCTTCTGTGATTAAGCACAGTGACAAAATTACCTCCCTGCCAAAGTAGACATTAATTGAATTCTTGATGTTTTTCCCCCACACACACAACTGCCACTTCCAAACTGAAAGACAGTATAGGGAGGTATCGCCCAGAATCTTCTCAGCAATCTGAGGGACTTTCCAGAGAGAATACATTCCATCACTGGGACTCCACATCCTCAGAGGAGTGGAGAGAAGTTGCACATGCTAAGGTACTAAAGGAGGGGCACTGTCCATTGATCACTCCTCTTTTTGCATGTCATTCCACTTTCTGAATCCCTCCACCGACTCTTTTTTCCACCCTACTAAGTTTAAATCTCTGATCCTCACATTTAAGGGCCTTCACAACTGTGTTCCTCCCTAATCAGATGCTCATTACTTATCACTTCTTTTCCTATGCCCTGTGCTCTACCACTGATGGCCCAGATGACACTCCCATGTCTGCTTCTCTGATGCCATTCTTGTGCACAGAATGTCCTCCTTGAGCTGATCTGTGAGACCACTATCCTCTCCTTCAAATCCCATTGCTGAGACTCCTCCAAGAAGTCAACTAACTTAAGATGTCTAGGTGAAGGGTCAGTTCCAGATAGCTGATACATATCTAAAATTTAACATACATTTGCTTGTTTTGTATAAGTAATTTTATCCCTCTTCCCCAGAGCCATTGCAAGTCACTTGCCTTTCCAGGCAGTCCTCGACTTTACGACATTTGACCTACGATGAACAGCATTTATGACAAAAAGAACAGGAGTACCTGTGGCACCTTAGAGACTAACAAATTTATTAGAGCATAAGCTTTCGTGGGCTACAGCCCGAAGAAGTGGGCTGTAGC